CTATTTTGGGTGTTTGGCTCGAACATGATGTGATCAGGGTTTTTTTATCCCCGTCAAGTTATAGTCTAACTTTCGACCTACGACGTCCTTTCTTATACACAAAAAAAGAAGAATTGTATGATTAAAGTCTAAAGAGCCAAGGTAAAAAATGACCCCACTCACAAACGTGCGTACAATAATGTTGTTAATAACTTAATACAGTTCATTTTTATATCTATCCTATATATGTGTGTGGGTATTTTTTTATTTTTATTCTTTTTAAATAAAATTTGCATTCAAACAAATGAAGAGTACATCCATGAATAAAGATGAAAAGCAAAAGGAAAACAGTCATTCCAAAAGCAAGAACAATGTTACACTACCACCCAATTCGCAATTCGGGACTCAGAGGGAGCTTGTCAGGTTGCTTTCACTATTTATATCCAGGGCTCGTTTTCTCCTTTATTTGCGGAAGCTTTGGCTACTGTTACGACCTTCGTTTTGCATGGGATTCATTTCTCAAAATTCAAACGATTCTAACACTCTCTAAGTGTTATTGAAGGAATCGTTCAAATGGAAGAATTTGACCCTCTTTTTGAGATTTTCTCGGACATCAGGAAGCTACTATATCTTTTGGATTGCAGTAAATGTGAACACACTACTCGAATGAAGAACCAAATGGCCCATAAAATTGCGAATTGGGCGGTAACGTCACATTGTTCTTGCTTTTGGAAGGACTGTCTTCCTTTTGTTTTTTAATCTTTCTTTATGGATGTATTGAACTCTTTATTTGCTTGAATGTAAATTTTATTTCAAAAATAAATAAATAAATAAATAAAACTTAGACTACTTGAGAGGTTATCAACATAGAATAAGCTCTAACTTGATTAATAAAAATATCAACCATAACAACAAAGTTTTGAACAAGTACTCGAAATTTCGAATCATAAATTGCCAGAGGCTAGTCCAACAACAAAATAGGTAAAATTAGAGTATTCTCCTGTTTATACGGTGCTGACGAACAAGAAAATTCAGGCAGAAACAAATCTGGATGATAATAAACTTGATACAACTTTCGAAAAATACTACTTTCGACAAAATTGTACTATCTCAGGCTGCAGTCTGTTTCTTAAGCTTCGCAAGCTCCTGACGGACAACCCCAGCCTTCTGCAGAATCTCAAAAAATAACTAATCATTAGACCTCCACAGGAAACTCTGTGGTAAGTTGTGCCGGCTAAACAAAACTTTAAGATGGTTCCAACAATATTGTCAAAATAAAGGCATAGGAGGATTATAGTTCAGCAAATATAAACATTTGATATTAGCAATCTCATTTACTGATAATCTAGAGCAAAACTGTACTGAAATATGACCTTGATTTTTGCAAGCATCAGCTTGAATCGGTCGAAGTCATTGAGGGTGGCCCTTCTCTTTTGAACAACGAGTTTCCTACCCCAAGAGCTCTTTTCCCATTTTCCCTTGACATCTGCAAAAAACATCATAAAGAAATTAAGCAATCTTCACTATAGACGAATTCAAAAGGTTTAGTCTATTTCCAAAGTGAAATACATACCAGCAGCTTCCATAGCAGCTATCAGAGTCTTCTTCTTCGGGACCCTTTTGATATCAATCTTGATATCCGTAAGAGAAAGCCTCTTGAAGTTCATCTGGCTTCTTACCATATCGGGGGCATCTACAAGAGCCTAAAGCAAGGCAAACAAACTATTGAACAAAAACTATCATAACAAATCAAACGAACCACTATAAACATCACAGAAGTTCAAACACACGGTATATCTACAACTGCATGAGCAAGGGCCTCCAAGTATATATAGCAGAAGCACCAAATGTCTTAATCACGTCAACATTGAAAACGAGGCAATGATATATTGCAAATGCGAACTCACAATCAATGAACGATCTGCATAGGTAATAATTTACACTCCGAATTCTACTCATTTGCAGCATTCAATACCAACACAGGCAAATGTATCTCACATAATCAGACTACTGTAAAGATCCACCGGGAGAACAACCAGTAAACAAATTATAGCTTTAATCAAGAGCATGAAACATAAACTTAGTCCAAATTAAGTACAAATCTAAACCGAGGGAGCTAAAGAAGACAATCAATCAGCATAGCTACGACAACACATATAGGAAACAAATTTCTATCTCTAATCCTGAGCATGAAACATAAGCAAATTCCAAAATTAAGCACAAATCTCGACCAAAGGAGCCAAAAGAAGACAATCAAATCAGCAAAAATACGAAAATCAGCTAATCACACGGTAATCTACAGAAAAAAACGAATATAAAAAAATCGGAGAACGACATACCCGATTCTGGTCGATGACATCAACGATGACGACGAGCTTTCCATAGTCCTTGCCGTAGTTGACGAGGGCTACCCTTCCGATCTCCACGTACCTCTTGAACGGCTACAGACACAAGCAGTTTAAGACACATCAAAAATCGCCATTTTTACGTAGACAGTTACAGCATTGAGGAGACATATGGAGACAGAGAAGAGAGTATATTTACGAGCGCTCACCATGTTCGACGGCGATCTGCAAAATGCGTCTATCTACTCGTGAGGAGAGGCTATGAGATGAGCGTCTGTGATGCAAATGAAGGTTTTGTTAGTTGGGAATTAGGATTAGGGTTTTTCTCGGCTGTATTGGGCCTGATAGATGGGCTTTACAGATGGCCGAGTAATATGTGTCAATATATAAGTACAAACCTCATGGAAGGACGGCCCACCGTTACCTCCTTACCAAACTATATCACACACATTAATAAGTAGTAGGCCTGCTAATTTTTTAAACTGTGTATCATGTAAGCTACTTTACATGTTTACTACAGTTGTCCAAAAAAATTTCAACCTTCGAAATAAACCATATATAAACCATTTATAAACTTAACATATATAAAAATAATCCCCCCTATATATTAATTCAGCTGAGCTTACGTGGCTTCTTCTGGTGCTTCGGAATCCTATGTGGCAAAATTACATGCTTCGTTATTAGACCTGGGTAAATTTTAATTTAATTCAAAATCAAAAATAATTAGGTTCGGATTACCATAAATATGTTGATTATTTATGGTCATGTTAGTATGTTACATGTATTAATTATATTTCAATATCATTCCTTATTATACTATTGAATTGTATATATATTTTAAAGGTTAATAACTTTTGTATTTTTTATCAGTTTTATATATATAATATATCAAATTAATCGTCTTTTGATGAGCTTCGATTTAACATCCATATTGTATGTATAAAAAAAATAATTTATATTTATCTTTATAACAATAATAAAATTATTTTTAATATTAATTAGAAAAATAAAATTATTTATCACCTAATATATTTATATTTCAAGTAGTTATATGATATAAATTATAAAAACTAATATAATATAACACATGTAAGTCATAAGTAACACATATCATTCTAAAATATAGAGTAATATATTTTTTTTGTAAAAAAGTAAACTAGATTTTTATAGTTTTCTCATTAATTTTAAAATTTAAGAATAATTTTTTAACAAGTACCCGTGTAATACACGGGTGTTGTACTAGTAATAATTTAAAAGTTAGTGTCTTTGTAATTAAAATAAAAACTTCACAAATGTGAAAATAAAACCTAATTGAAAGTAAATAGTGTAAGTTTCACTATAATCTAATGCTTTTATTTGATCCTTGTACTACGAAGCGTAAATGGCATTACGTATTGTTTAAGCTATTTGAGTACAAAAAATGATTTTTACGTACCATTAAAAATATTTTTATATAATAAAATTGGGTGTTTAGTGATACGAGAGAGAGAGACGAAACATAATTTGAGGGAAAGATCATCTCAATCGGATAATACCACTCTCTATTAAGCAAGAATATATATACAAAAATAGGGCTATAGATACCTAAACACTGGCGGATTTACATAGGGGCCCGTAGGGGCACGGGCCCCTGTAATTTTTTTTGTAATATGTATGTATATATATATATATATTATATATATAAATGTATTAATTAACATAAAAATACATATTAATTATTAATAAAAGTTATTTCAATATAAAAAAAACAAAAAACATATGTTTAGAATTATTCCTTCAATGTTTTGTTATTTTTTAACTTGTAGAATTTACGTGTATACTATATTCAACTTGTTTTTTATTTCATTTTTCTTCCTAAAATACATATAAAAACAAATATTGTACATAAATGTATATACCACATAGGGATTGGATCAAATGTGTCATTATTCTTAAAATGAGAATGTAAGACCCAACTTTATCTATTAAATAAAAAACAAGGTGTATATCAAGATTTATCTTTTTATTTTTTAATTGGTTAAATAATGATTTGACCGTTGACCTACGACGTTGACTGTTTACCGCAGTTTGTGCCCCCGTTGTCCTTGAAGTCTGCGTCCGCCCCTGTACCTAAAGATAATATAAGGCTAATACAATAAATATATAAATATACACAATAACCCATCAAGTTGGAGCATGTGAATTCTAAATGCTCAACTTGCCAAAAAAGAGATCAAATTCACACTTTCCTAAACGCCTTGGTGAAGAGGTCAGCGAGTTGTTTCCCAGATAGAACATGATGAGTAGAAATGAAACCATGAATAAAGCTTCTCGAACAAAGTGGCGATCCACCTCAATGCAATTAATGCGCTCGTGAAAAACTAGATTCGCCGCAATATGCAACGCAGACTGGCTGTCACGGTGTAACTGCATAGGCTGAGAGTGAGTGACACCAAGAGTATATAATAGTTCTCGTAACCACTTCAACTCGCATAATGTAGTAGTCATCGCCCGATATTCAGCCTCAACAGAAGAGCGCGCGACAATAGGTTCTTTATAGGTTCGCCAAAAAACAAGAGACAAACTTAGCTGAATAAACCGACCAGGAAGAGAGCGTCGAGTGAGAGGGAAAGACGCCCAATCCGATCACACTATGCATAAAGTTGAAGATCGCAGTCAGTACGAAGATGAATCCCCTGACCATGAGAGCATTTCAAATATCGAACCACACGCAGAAGAGAGTCTTAGTGAGCCAGACGCGGTTGATGCATAAATTAAGAGAGCATATACACCGAATAAGATAGCTCAGGTCGAGTCACTGCCAGATAGATAAGACGTCCAACTAAACAACGATATCGCTCGGGATCAGACAATAGATCACCCTCAGCAAGAGGGAGCTGATGATTCTGCGTTAGTGGAAAATCAGTTGGCTTGCTTCATAGTAGTCCGACCTCAGATATGATGTCAAGAGCATACTTTTGCTGACAGATCCTTCATGTGAAAACGACTCAAGTAACTCTTGAAGGCCACAATAAATGTGGTATTATTCCATGACTCATATTTTCCGGCGATTTTATTTTTATCCATGATTCGAGCTTTACGCATCATTTTCGTCCGAGCTTGCGATAGAAGAGTAAGTACCTGGACTAGGATTTAATTACTTCGAGTTTGTTTGCCTTCTTTCTAAGTTGGTGTGGTCGGAGTTTTGTGTCTATGCTCGATTTTAGGAATTTGTGACCGCGCGTCGTTACACGACAAGTTTGAATTTATAAATTTTCCTCGTCTAACCCCTACTAACTAGTAGTAGTGACGAGCAAGGGTTGATCCTACAGGGAGTGTGGTATAAACCGTAATTTTATTATATTAATTAGAATATTAAAATAAAAATAGGGGGATTTGATTTAATACTAAACTACTAGCAGGACAGAAAAATAAACTAGAACAAAAAATAAATGATTATAGTGCAAAGATGACGAAATCGGGAATAACAAATAATCTAATGAATATGAGAATGAAATCGGTTCCAGGTCGGTCTACACTCTCGATTAACTAGTCCAATTGATGCACTTATCAAGTCTCACTCGTCTTCTAAAACTACCAGTCCTAGATAGCAATAAGCTCTGCTACCAAAATTTTTCTTTAATTTTACTTAATCGAAACATGCTCTTCAATTAATTCTAACTAGCGAATAACTCGGAATAAACTCTCCTAATTTAATTTGCTCGTTGCATTAAAATCTAGGAAAATAGACCGATTTAAGCCACAACACACATAAGCTCGATTCATGTAACTTATGTTGTGTTATCCCTAACAATGCACGACTGTTAGTTGCAACCAACGAATTAAGAACGACGCCAATTACGGATTAAAGCCTCAAATCTAGCAATTAACATATAATTCCTAACTTAGGTGATCAAGCTAAATCAAAAATCACACATTATGACATGAAACTAGAATAACACAAACAATTTCATACGACGAGTAAAACGAAATAAATTGCATTAATCGAATATAGTCACCGAGGGTTCAACTGTCCCCAAACCGAAATAAGTGAATAGCTACACATAGCTAAATAATCAAAGCAAAAATAATAATTCATGTTCTTCTTCAACTAAAATACTGCAAATAAAATAAATCATTCAAACTCCTTGTTCAAAGTGATCCACGGCCAGATTTATGTTCAGCAGATGAAAAATTCTTCTATCCCTCCCAGCTCTCCGTTCACGTGAATAATAAGTCCCAGATGACTCCTCAAGAATTAAGTGTCCACTCCAATGGGAATTCCTTCACACGTACAAGTCTCCCCCAAGGAAATTAAGTCCCACTACAAAATGAACTCTTCAATTAATTACCCACATTATGCAAAGGCAAAATTTTATCCCCGCAAACTCTCGGCCAATGTAACAAGTAAAAGAGAAAGAGTCCTCGTCTTCTTTCTTGGTCTTAATAAAATTAATTCCGAGTCATTTTCTACATAACTGCCACGTTACAAATAGACGTAATAACTGCAAAATAGTCACAAAATTGAATATTGGTGTACGTCCGTTCACAAAATAAAATACATGAAAAACTTTGAATAATTCAAGAAAATCAAATACTCAAATATATAAATTAAACCACAAAATAGTACAAGATTTCTCACGTATCAATTTGCTTTAATTTTATTGTTTGAATAAGTGTGTTAGGAATTCAAAATACGGGATTATCTTGTGTAAAGGTCTCGATTTTGTCGTGATGATTTAGGCAAGAAGGCTCGTGTTAGATTACATAGGATCTCACATGTTTTCTCTTTGTTTATTTTCATTTCTTGAGTTATGGAGACTCCGTGCAACCAAAGTTCAGATATTTTCTCTAAAGTTTGCATCTTTCTTCCTTTGCTCTTAATTTCTTAGCTTAATTTTGTGCAAATCACCCCCAAATCAAGCGAGTAACATGCTTAGGACCTTATTTTCGGCTTTCTAAATTGACGACTAGATTGTGAACGAAATTTGAACAACGTTACTTTGAGAAGACGACCCGAGTTAAATCTTTCGATCGTACTCCTTGAAACAACTTTGATGAAAGTCTTATTTCATGATGTATAAAATATTTTGGTACATTATCATAGAACAATTTAGTTTAGGTGTTTTTAGGCATATTTTTCAAGAACATTTTAGAAAATTTTAGGTAATCTTTACATTTTTTGAAAACAAATATACAACATCTTAGATAATTTTAATGTATAACATTTTTGTAGCGTACGATAATTACTATATATTAACCCATACCCTTAATTATAAATATTATATTATATATTTACTAGTGCACCAATTCACCCAAGTTATTTAGTAAGGGTGTAAATTAATATTTAAAAATTTAATAAGAATACATCTATCAAAAAATAAATGATTTTGTTTCTAATAATGAAAAATAAATACAATGGGTTTAATAATATTGGGTGGGATTGGTTAAAAATATTTGACTGGTTTGTTTGTAAAATCAGTCTTAAAGGGTTTTAAATAATGGAAAATAAATACAGTGGCCGATCACTACTAGAAATTAGATGAGATTGATTTTTATTGTAAGTGTGTTTAAAGAAAGGAAGAAATTAGATGAGATTGATTTTTATTGTAAATGTGTTTAAAGAAGGAAGTTTTTTTATGAAATCTATATCTATTTAGTATTTATTAGCATTTCTAACGTATGTGCATTTGGACACATATAAATAAAGTAAGTTATTTATCTGCATATAATTTTAAAATTATAAGTTAGATAATAATATTAAATTTTAAACATAGAGTATTATAAGTTATATGTATGCATATAATATTAAAATTATAAGTTAGATAATGGTGTTATGTTTTAAAATTCGATAATTGGTTAAAATAAATAGTACGTAACTATTTGATTGAATATGAATCATTAACTAATAGCATAAAATGTAATAAATAATGTAATATTTGTGGTGTTGAGAAATTATGACTAATTAATTTACTGAAAAATATTAAATCTACTATAACAATTGCTTATGCAATTTTAAGGGATTTTACTATGACATTGAAATAAATTAATTTATTTAAAAAATAGTCGATTAATCAAATAAAAAATATATTATTATTTTAGAATTAATAACTTGAACAAAAAAATTACAATATAATTTTGTATGTTCATGTAACTTTCATATATCAGTGAGTGTAAAATATAATTATTATTCAATTAATATAAAATGTAGCGGCTTTTGTTTAATTAATAAATCAATTTTTGAAAAGTACCAACGTAGATATAATTTACAGGATAAAAAATTTATGAGGTTATATTTAATGAGTTGTTAGCAATTATACATAAACATAGATTACCTTACACTACTTTATTTATAAAATGCAACTTATATCTAACGGTTAACATCAAAAGAATGGAACCATTTAGCCACTTGTTAAAAATGTAGATTGAAATTGTCTACACTTACCTAAATTTTCGAAGTTTATCTGCCTTTGTCTCAAAACGGGTCATTAGGAGCCAACAATTTTTCATTACCGCTAAAAACGTAAGGCTTTGCATTAATATTTCTGATTTGTTGAATATCTTTAAAACATTCAACTTTTTTTCTTGGTCAAACAATTTTTTAGACTCATTTTTTATTTTTTTCTTTAGAGGAAAAAAAGAGAGTCAACCAACCCTCACTTAAAGGAAAAATAAATAAAATAAAAAAATAAATAAAAGTCACTTATTTTACTGTTCACCCTTTCCCTTCCCTTTTGAACTTGAAGAATCCAAAAAAAAAAAAGGAAAATTAAAAACAAAAATAGGCTAGCAATTTCCTTGAGATTTTTCTTTTTCTTTTTCTTTTTCTTTTTCCCCTTAAATTTGCATGGATCAATTTTAAAGTCCATGAGATGAAACTGGGTTGGTTTTATCTCTCATGTTCTTTGTGAACTAACCTCAAAAAATCCATGCACATATAATCTTTGATCTGCTAAAAAGGACCAATAATAAAGAATCACAAACATGGCAACAAAGATGAAGGGCCTTTTCAAGGGGCTCAGATACATTTCCCAGATTTTTGGTCAGTGCAAATTTTTCATTCTTTTCACATTTCAAAGTGTTGTCAAATTCCGTCCGGATTTGTAACCGTTAGATCAACTATCCACGACGGTTACATGATGATATGACAAATCCCGACGGAATCGTAACGGGACTGTACCATTTCCCATAAACATTATGTCAAATGCTGAGCAGGCCTAATAGTTGGGCACTCACGTTATTTCAACAAATATGCATACTTTCGAGTAATATAAATAAAAGTATGACAATTCATAATATAAGTACGAGTTTTTATTACAAGGTCTAACGAGTTAACCCGTCTATCTTGCGAATTCTAAATTTATGTTATATTAAATCTCCTTGGAGTTTCACATTTTTTTTCCTTTTTTTTTTCTTATATATATATTTTAGAGGAAGAAAAAGAAGAAGAAATGAAGATTGGTCTTCCCACAGATGTGAAGCATGTAGCTCATATTGGTTGGGATGGGCCATCACAAGTTGGCTCCTCTCCAAGCTGGGTAATAATAAATCTTGATTTCTTCTCATGACTGCCATACTTTTATCGGTCGGGGACCCGAACAGTTAACCAGATATTCCGTACTTTTAAGTCGAAATGTTGTATTCTGAAAAACAATATAAGTAAAAGTATGACATCTCATTGCATAATTATATACATTTTTTGTATAAAAAAATGTATGATGGGTCGACTCGGCTAATCGTTAAGCTGCCTCATATAAGAATTTGTCATAAATTAATTTGTTGTTCTTTTTAGTAAGTTTTGTGTGGATTATCACATATGGCTCAAATGATGTGCAGATGAAGGAGTTTAAAGGCTCCCCTGAACACCAATCAGCACCTTTAGATTCCAATGGTAAAACTATAGAGGACACTGAAATCAAATGGGTTTCTGAAGGTTGTTAATTACATTTACACTCTAATTCTGTTCCTTCACACATACACACACACACATGAAAATGTCTTTTTTTGCATGACAAAAAGAAAATTCAGTTAGTTTCTGTTATCTAATTTAACTGTTTTTTTTTTTTTTTTTTGCTTGTTAATAGACTCGAAAAAAGGCAGCAGAGCAAGAGATTCCCCTGAAGTTCCAAGATCCTCTCGGCGTCAACAAATATGTGACAACGACAACTCGAACGAATCGCCAAAGAAAAAGGACTCGTCCACTAAATCGAGGCACTCAAGGCGAAACCATTCCAAGGACTCGTCCGAAGGTGGCGTGGTCGTGTTGGGCCAGGACGAGTCGGGCCGGCCCGGTTCTCCTTTGCGGGCCCACCCGGACCTTGCTAAAAAATCGCGTCGAAAGAAGTCCAAGGAATGTGATGGTGGTGGGTCGACCCGGTCAAGGTCAAAGGACTCGGAGGGCGGGTCCACCCGATCCAGGTCCAAGAATACGGACGGCGGGTCGACCCGATCGAGATCCAAGCACGCCCATTGTGGGGCATCGGCGTACTCGGATCCCGGGCAGGATGGTGGGTCCATTGATGAGGAGAAGGAAAGAAGAGCAATTTCTTGAGGATATTGATGTTCTTTTATTTTTTTTTTCTTTTTCTTTTTTTGGATTTCTTTTTTGTTTTTGTTATTATAAGCTGTGTTTTGGGACTAGTTTTAGCTAGTGAAAATTGAAAAGGTTTCAATTTTTCTTTTTTCTTTTTTTTTTTCTTTTTTTTTTTCAGATTGAAGATCATCCATAGTCACTACCAACCATGTACGATATTCCATTTATTGTATTTTTCTTGTTTAAAAATTTTTGGAAACTCTGTTGTTCACATGGAGTTGAGATACCAAGTAGTAGTATAAATGTGTGAGTAGCATTAATTCAAATGTAATATTTTTTTTTTTTTTTTCGGTACAAATGAAAGAGGCCATAGGCCTAAACGCTCGAAACTAAAACACGACGCGGATGATATACTCTGCGACCATCATGATCAAGTCAAGCTCCTAGGCTTAATTCAAATGTAATTGATATGAGTTTTGGTTTATTGTTGCTTTCTTTCCACTTTTCTTGTCTAGCCTACAAAATATTAGTCAACTAACTTGTTGACCTAAGAATCTGCTTAAGCGTTGGATGGCCGACACGTGGACGACGAGAAA